TTGTGTAGCTTTGTCCTTAACTTCAAACAAGCAAGCTAAATATACATTCATGGCATTCTGTTTCTCAAGCTTTGAGGGTATATTAAAAAGCTATTTTCTATTTTCAAATTGTTACTTTCTACTTCCTGTCTGGAACTTACATATTTGTAGTTTAAGACTACTCTTGTCTACAAATATAACTTACCAATATTTTTCCATAGTCTAACTTCTTCAGTATCACCCCTCTTACAGTTTGGATTATGTTCTTCAAATTTATCCGAGGTTCAAGTACCACTGGCAACCTGAAAGCTCGATAACCTTTGATATTTAGTAATCAAATAAGCTGAAACATGTATGGACAGTAAAGTACAGGATTTTGAAAATTAAATTAACTTTCATACAAGCGTAGTACATTTCAGTTAGCGTGCAACTCCTGTATACTTTCTACTCAATCAGACACATGAACAGAATGTTTCTAGTATCTATTAAGAATACTTCAAGTATTAGATAGGGGATTATGATTTTAGATCAATTGTTTTGGTTCATAGTTAAGCATTCATAGTAAACCTGCAAGATGGCTTATCGAAGACATAAAAGAGGCCTGTGTTTTCTTGTGAATCATCCATACAGGTCTTTCTTAAATTCACACTTCACTTTACTAATACCTACTGTTGTTGCACTGTCTATTTTCGTCGACAAAAAGAATAAAATATTCATTGACCCATGTTCAATTGCAGCCTCGAGATCTCATGCTGAGACTGTCTGCAAAAGCTTCTAAGAATACAAAAAGCGTAGACAAGTTTGTTTTTAGTTTTGATTTTTTCGCAAAGCTATACGAGAGCTATCTGCGCTAGCTGTCCCTATATTAGCAGTAAAAGACTAGAGCGAAGGCAGTTAGTCATCACCACCAACTCTTGGGCTACTCGTTTACCAACGAATAGTGAGATTGACCATCACATTATTAACGGCCTCCTGGCTGAAAGGGCGAGCGTGTTTGGTGGGACGGAGATTCAAACTCGTGACTCTCAGATTGCGTGTCAAGCGTCCTAACCATCTGCCCATGCCAGGCTAGTGTAGACAAGCGCTCCAACAGTCGGTACCCTAGTTTTCCACGTATATAAGGAAACGGTGTCCAGTAGGGACGAAACAAAACTATTCCACTCTTGAAGTGGTTTTCCAATCATCAATAAAAACGAGGAATATCTTGTTCTTCAAATCTTTAAAGGTATGTTGCATACGTATTATTTCGGTAAAGTCGTCATTTCTTAGAGGGCCCGGCATGGCCAGGTGGTTGGGGCGCTCGACTCGCAATCTGTGGGTCGCGGGTTCGAATCTCCGTCCCACCAAACACGCTCGCCCTTTCAGCCAGAAGGCCGTTAATAATGTGATGGTCAATCTCACTATTCGTTGGTAAAAGAGTAGCCCAAGAGTTGGCGTTGGATGATGATGACTATCTGCTTTCCCTCTAGTCTTACACTGCTAAATTATGGATAGCAGATAGCCCTCGTGTAGCTTTGCGCGAATTTCCAAACAAAACAAAATTTCTTACAGTATTGCAGAAAGTTTCATTGATAAGGCCTGATAAGTTTAACTGTGCTACTCTTTGATCAAACACAGATTGAACAATAAGTTTATTCACTCTTGTCAATGCAGATCTCAAATGATTTAATGTGTTACAAGAATGATAAGTTTGACCAAGATCGTCGATTTCACACGCTTCATTCTTCAGTACTTGTAAAATAGGGTACACTTATTCAGTGTATATATGAATAAGAATTGGTTTAGTGTGTTTATTCAATTACTTTTCATTATGAACTATAGTGTTTAAATAAGTATCATAATGACAAAGCTGTGCACATAAATCCTGCCATTCTGATTTTGATAAAACAAAGGAGAACCTTATCAGATATCATATAAATACCATGATAATCAAATCAATACGTAAACAAAATAGAGAGGATATTATTAACACAAGAATTAAACGATTTCGTCTTTTAAGGACAACATTTTGTTCTGTACAGCTACACTAATGGTTGGGATCTACTGTTTAAATTCCTCCCATTCTGTTGAAAAAACAATTATGAATTCCTTGATTGGATATAATTTTCCTTTTCCAAAGTCTTGTCCTTGAACCACCTATGAATATTCAAATTATTCCCATAAATTGACAGAGTGGTTTAACCTTGTTCTGAATAGGATAGACATGAGATGAATCAGATGCTTCTTTACGTTGTATAATAGTAGAGGAACCTAACTATTATTTCTTTTATCTGTTTTACTGGTTCTTCTAGAACACCGAATTTGTTCTTTTTCGTTATTTCATTAATGTCAATAGCATTTTTTTTCTTTCCAGTAGAAGTAGAGTAAAATACATAAATAATTAGTAAAAGACAACAGCGTTATTTATTAAGATAATGAATATGACTGAAAATAAACATCACTATACAATAGAAACAAAAACTAACAATAGATTTATAAGAAAAGAAATATCTGTTACGATATGCTTACGTTTAGAGGTTAGTTCGTCTTTTTTCTTCCACGTAGTAGAACTGTTTCAGTCTGATTATACAGGCCTGTGATGGTTTTATTGTCTTGAAATTTTTACATGTTCTACAGTAACTCCTGTACGCTGAATCCGAAAATGATATCCATTTTTCTCCATCGCGTACAGATTTTTAACAAAATGTCATAACGCAATACATAAAAGAAAGACCACAACACGTAGTTTTGAGACTAAAAGACATAGATTTCACACAAACACACTCACAAAATCAGGATGAATGAGGATACATATTCGTCTGACATCAATCTTCTTCCTTTTTCTTCAGTTAATTTATATTTTTGTTAACGAACATAATAATAAAAAAATGTTCATTGTGGTAAACGAAATAATAATTTTATCTAAGTAAGATTTTTTTTCCTTCCCGATTTGTT